GAACAGTTGTTTTGTCAGGGTAGAGAATCACTTTAGTCATTGGGGTGCCACATTTATCCGTGCTTTGAGCGCCACAACTGCAGACATGGTAAAAAGACAGTATAAGTCATTATAATCCGTAATTATGTTCCCGCTTGATGCAACAAATGCCTCGTCTATAATGGGTTTTAATGTTTTTGTCTCTGCGCTCCGGGAAAAGGCATCACAGTATGGTAAGGGGCGTAACATTTCCGTCACATGCTTGAGGTATTCGGCCAATCACAACGCACTGGATAGCTGGCCAATCAGAGCACACCTCGCTTTTCAGACAACCGATTTAGTATCTACAGTCATGGCCAAAGGTTTTGGCAGTGACATAAATTTTGTGTTTTGCAAAGTTTGCTGCTTAAGCTGTTGTGGTGTTCATTCACATTGTTTCTAGATTATTGTGTAGAGTGATCAGATGCATTTTAAATAATTGCTAAAAGCTTCATTGGCCAAAAAATTTACTTTTCACAAAAAAACGAATTTCACTGTTTTTTGATCCTGACACAAAATGACCAGCTAACATTAACTGACTAATCATATCAGCAGCGCATGTGAAAGTGTGAATGAGTACTAGTCAGGTGAAATCACTATCATATTATTTAGATTGTAAGAGCAGTCTGATTGCTATAAAAGGAGGGAAGAAGCGCTTCCAATCATTGTGTTCTTGTTAGCAATGGTTACCTCCAAAGAAACACGTGCAGCCATCATCGCTTTGCATCAAAATGGCCTCACATGCAAGGACATTGCAACAAAGAATATTGCACCTGAAAGAACCATTCACCGGATCATCAAGAACTTCAAGGAGAGAGGTTCGACTGTTCGACTGTTCGACTGGAGAGAAGTCTTCAGGACGTCCCAGAGTGTCCAGCAAGTGCCAGGACGTCTCCTCCTGAGGAGTCAGCTACGGAATCGTGTCACCAGCAGTGCAGAGCTTGCTCAGGAATGGCAGCAGGTTGGTGTGAGAGCATCTGCACGCACAGTGAGGCCAAGACTTTTGGACAACGGCCTGGTGTCAAGAAGGGCAGCAAAGAAGCCACTTCTCTCCAACGTCAAGGACAGACTGAAATTCTGCAGAAAGTACAAGGATGTCAAGAACAGACTGAAATTCTGCAGGAAGTACAAGGATTGGACAGCAATATTGTGGAAGCTCCCTTCCGAGGAAGCTCCCTTTCGACTGTTGGGACATCTGGAAAATCAATTGTTCTGAGAAGAAAAGGTGAACGCTACCATGAGTCCTGTGTTGTGCCAACAGTGAAGCATCCTGAGACCATCCATGTGTGGGGTTGCTTTTCAACCAAGGGAGTGGGCTCTCTCATAATTCTGTCCAAAAACACTGCCATGAATAAAGAATGGTATCAAAACGTCCTGCAAGAGTGACTTCTTCCGACGATCCATGAGCAGTTTGGTGATGATCCGTGCATTTTCCAGCGTGATGGAGCACCATGTCACAAAGCAAGAGTGATGAAGAAGTGGCTCGAAGATCATTATATTGATATGGATCCGTGGCCTGGCAACTCCCCGGATCTCAATCCCATAGTGATCCTGTGGTCAGTCCTCAAAAGGCGAGTGGACAAGCAGAAGCCCACAAATTGTGATCAACTCCGAGAACTAATAAGGCAAGAATGGATCGCCATCAGTCAGGATTTGGCCCAGAAGCTAATATCCAGCATGCCAGAGCGAATTGCAGAGGTTATGAAGAACAAGGGTCAACACTGTAGATATTGACAAATTTTTTTTTTGGCAATAAACGCCTTTAAAACTTATGATATGCTTATCATTTGTTTCAGTATACCATAGAAACATGTGGAAAAATAATCTGCAAATACTGAAGCAGCAAACTTTGCAAAACACAAAATTTATGTCACTGCCAAAACTTTTGGCCATGACTGTAGGATACGATTTAACAATTTCCACATGTAAAATTGTATTAGCTAATAGATTTTCTTTGTAAAGAATTCTGTGAAGAATTCATTACATTATGAAGCCAAAATTCAGTGATAATCGAGAAATAAAACCATCCATGTGACCATGTGATTTTATTTTGTTTATTCCATCCTGATGACACTAAATGGCAGTGCAGGCGAATTTAACCAAACAGGAGATTGGGAGAATCCTTGCTGTAAACCTATCCCTCAAAAATCTGATTTGTTGATTAGAATGTTGTACGACCAATGATTATGATCTTTTTTTTTTAAATATATATAAGAAATGAGTTTTCATATTACTACAATAGAGGTTAGATTAAACATTTGCTTGTGAACATTTTTAGAAGTTTCTGATAAAATTTATAAATAAAGAAATAACAGATTTGTGGAATCAGACAAGTATTTGGATTTGGATATGCTTTTTTTTTCAGTTATGAAATAGGGCAGTATGCAGTAGCCAAATAATGTCCCAAGGAAGCAGTGTATCACTTGATGAGAGACATGGGCACCGCTAGGCCATTTTTAGGGGGGCTATAGAGAATTCATATATGCAATAAAGATTCTGCTAGATAATCCACAACGGACATCATGGTAAGCAACCATACTATATTTTATATTCAGTTGGTCCATTTTAACCTTTCATTTGTCAATGCCCTCTTGTGAACAAAAGTTTAACTTGATCATAAAACTGGAGAAGTAATATACTACACAGATGAAATAGGACTGTTGATGATTTTGCTTTTTTCAACAATTTAGGTTTTTATTGTGCTGTCAAGAGCCCTTCTCTCCTCTTGTGAACAAAAGTTTAACTTGATCATAAAACTGGAGAAGTAATATACTACACATGAAATAGGACTGTTGATGATTTTGCTTTTTTCAACAATTTAGGTTTTTATTGTGCTGTCAAGAGCCCTTCTCCTGGTCTCTCTGCTTCATCTTTATTCTCAAAGTGTGGAGGGTGAGCCTGTGGACATTGAAACCGGCCAAAATTACAAGATTTTTTCATCAGAAGTAAGTTTTCATTTTACTGAAGTAAAGGTTAGTTGAAACATTTGTTTGTGGGAATTTTTGCACTTTTTGATTACATTTTGAGTTTTACGTGTAATTTATTATTTTCAGACTAAATACAAGAAGAGATAATACATATATTTGCACTCATTCACACTTTTCCAGCATGCATGTTTGACCAGTATACCTCAGTTTTGAATATGTAATTGTGAACATTTCTGTTTTTTGCTTTTTTTTTTTTTAGTTATGAAATAGGGCAGTATGCAGTAGCCATCAATGTCCCAAAGACTCAGTGTGAGAATGGTTTCATACCATCGACATTCCCCGACTTCCTGAAAGAAGACAAAAACGTAAATGTGAAAAATATCATAAGTGCTGATGAAAGACCAGTTTACGAAGGCAAAGAGCTCATTGCTGCAGGAGTACAGAAGACACCAAACACTGCTCATTCAGAGTTTCTACTGATGAACCCTCCAGATAATTCACCCTTGACAAACTTGTTGAATAAGAGAAAGGATGGTTGTGTGGGTTTTCTACACCTTAAACTCTCCCTGTATGAACACCTCTCAGTGGGAAGTACGAGATTACAGGAGGGCTTGATAAATGAAAAGCATACAAGGGGAATTAAAGCTTTTGTTTTCAAAAACATCTGGAAGCAGGATCAAAACAGACAAGATGAGCTGAGAGAGAAACTTAAGGTGATTGCTAGTCGCATTCCACTCTACCGCTGTAAATCAAATAAGTGTACCTGTAGGAGCCTATTTTTGTTCAGATTCAGTAACCAATGTTATATTATGTGGTGCATTTCAGCTTTGAATATTTTGGTTTGGATTGTTTGGACTTGTAAACGTACTTTATTCACGTGTACAATTTAGACAAATATTCTGTATTTTACATTGAAAATGTGTACTATGTTGAAATTGTGTACTGGCTCTTTAAGAATCGCGTCTGTTAAGTCAGGCGGCAGTGCGTTCTTTGGAATACAGCGGAGTCACACAGTTTTCTTTACCGCATCCGTGATATTTAAGATGTATGAGACACGGAGCGAGTAAAACTGAAAGTGAAACTGATGCGCACACACAGTACCCTTTGTGGAGAGCCAGGGTCCAACACTGAAATAAATAAGGCTTGTTTAACTGATTAACTTTTTTTCTTAAATGCTTATTTTTGCACACTTGCTTGACTAATTGTCTTAACTAAAATTTCACATATTCTGTTTGTGCATACATTGACTGAGATGTGTTCTGTGTTATTAAAGTGGCTTTGCTATTGCTTTGGGGATGTTGAGTCTGTTTATTTGATGTTATAACATTAATGTTGACTCTTTGCATTCATCTGTTATGTTACACAATTAGCATGTTTAAAATAAAAAAACTAAGGGTCAGATTTACTAACGGCTTGTGCCAGAATAAACTCTCTTTTGATGGTAAAAAACTACTGTCAGGATTTACTAAAGGCACGCAGTAAAAAATTAGCACTGAAAAACTTTGGACAGTTACATTTTCCTCTGACTTTATTTGCATTTGTAGGAGTTTCCTTTTCAGACGCAAAATGTATGGGAGAAGAATATTTATATGAATCACGCAATATGATTTACTAAGGTTTGTGCTAGTCAGTTTACTGTTATTTGTGCCATTATTTAAGACCCCCAAAAAAACCTGTCTTAAACCAGATGCTAATTTTTTAAGATGCTCTCTCTCTCTCTCACACACACACACATTGGTTTTATGGGGACATTCCATAGACGTAATGGTTTTTATACTGTATAAACTTATATCCCCTAAACCCTCCCACAAAACTTTTTACATTTTCAGAAAACGTCATTCTGTATGATTTATAAGCTTGTTTCCTCAAAAATGTCCCTGCAAGGGTAAAATGTATTACTATGTGGGGACATGTGGTCCCCATAACGTAGGGAATACCAAGTATACACACACAAACTTTAGATTTGTAAGTGGGGACCACTCATAGACACAGTGGTTTTTCTATGAAGCTGATTATATTAGCTAAATCCCAACCGTGATAAATCTGCCAGTCATACAAACCTATTGACATCTGTAGATTTAAACATGATTTGGTCCATTTATAAGCCTTTCAAACACATTATCACCTCAAATGCCCTCACAGGTGAGTGTTTTCATGCTGTAGGTTTCACTATTTTAGTGAGGACCTCATAAGTATATTTATATAGTATATAAATGCTGACATACCATAGATGTCTATTGATTTGATGAAAAGCTAATTCATTATAATAACTGTAGACTAACCATATGAATGCAGTCACACTCACTTAAATTCTGAAAAAAAGGCTTGCTGCTAGTCTTATAGTGAGGAGAACTTGGATATTTGATTACTTTAAACACATAAAGGAGATTTAAATGCTGAAATATAAAAACAATAAATGTTTAAGTGCAGTGTATGAGACCTAGAAACAGGACAATTTTAAAAAAGCAACACCACCTACTGATGAAGATGCCACACGTATATAAGATAAATTTGAATTAAAATATTTTCTAGCAATAAATATATACAGATATGTAGGCTGTGATATGCACAAAATAAATATGGGGCATTTTTGGGGGGAAAATGTATTGATAATCAGGACGTTTGCATGTTTCCATGAAATGCTTGTGATTAGCACCATCTTGTGCATCTCTGTAAAACTGCACATTGCAGTCACTGAACACTGAACACACACACACACACACACACACATATATATATATATTTTTTTATTTATTTTTTTTTTATTTTTTTTATTTATTTTTTTTTATGTCTATTTTCTTTATAGCTATACCTGGACAGACCCACTGCACTTGTTTTGCATAGCGGTTAAAATAAGTATTGAACACGTCACCATTTTTCTCAGTAAATATATTTCTAAAGGTGGTGTTGACATGAAATTTTCACCAGATGTCGGTAACAACCCAAGTAATCCATACATACAAAGAAAACAAAACAAATAAGTTCAGAAATTAAGTTATGTGTGATCAAATTGAATGACACAGGAAAAAAGTATGGTGGTAAAATGAGTAATATATAGGAATATTTCTATATTTATTTTAACAATAGGTTTTCTTTGTAAACTAATAAACTGTGAAGTTGGATTTGTTACATTATGAAACAAAATTTCAGTTGTAATCGAGAAACAAAACCCAACCATGTGACCATGTGATTTTATTTTGATGATTTCATTCTCGTGACACTAGATGGCAATGCAGGCGAATTTAACAAAACCTGAGATTAAGAAATCTAGAAAGAGAATACTATTATATTCCGTACATACATAGTTGAATTATAGAGTGAAAATCTCAAAGTGGTAAAGATTAGACAGTGTTATTAATTATATTTCTTCAACAAATTACCCCTGAATAAATATTAAATAGATCCATTAATCAGTAATGTTATTATACCATTAATCAGTCATTTCTGTCATTATTCTTAGGTAGGCCTACACGAGAAGTTACAAATGAAGACATTGCTCATGTCTGATAAGCAAACAGTTGTTTCTGTGATTATGCAAAGGGGCTCTATAGATTATTCAAAGACACTTTGACAAGTTATATGACCTTCAAATGGCACTTTTATATAGGTTACAAAGCTATCTCATTTAAAATATTCAAAAGAATGTTCGCAAAATTATTTTGCTTTATCAGATAAGGAACTTTCATTTTTCAAATAGCACAAAAAAATGCATTAAATAAACATCAACCAGACAAACACAAAGGGTACATTTTTTTAAATATAGGCTAATATATTCAATAAATCACAAACGTTTATGACTATGGCATAGTCATATTTGACTATGGCATATGGCTATTTGCTTTATTAAATATTTAGAACTGAAGCAATAGGCTAATGGCGAAATCAGAATGGTTTCTAAAGTAGTATTTTAATTTTTTTAAATGTATTTTTCTGTATGTAGGCTATAATTGGTCATATATAATAATAAAAAAAGCTAAACAAACCAATAGCTGGATGACACTTCACTGAAGTGCAGATATATTAAATAATAATATTAGCCTAAATACTGGTTTTACATTATACAAAAAAAAACAGTATTGTTTAAACTCATTCATAAAATAAAATGTAAAATAAAAAGTAAATAAACTTCCGGAATAATTGTGCACCACCGACGCAAGTGCAAGCACGACTGCGCAAATGCGCAAACACACAAGTCGCATTCTCACTTTTTGAGTTGCATACCACAGCATTAAAGACAGACAGCATCACTTCCTTGATTTCACGGGACAGCGAGCGAGTCTCCTCCCACTCGAGTGGCATATTGGTGAGAAAAAGCCTCGTTTGTTTCACAGGAAGAAGTTGAAAACATGAAGAAACGCGACAGTTAGACGATTCACAACTCAAAAGTCACGGGCTCAGCAGCACATCTCTTCTCCGGACGGCTGGATTACAATGTGTTACTGTCAAAGCGACGAAACAAGTGGCTTGAGACACTGAGTCGACTGGACACATTGCACTGGATCAGAGGGGTTAAAGTATCGTAAAAATCTACTGAAACGTTTGCAGATATGTCGGAACACAGGTCCTGTTTCCTTCACATTGGGGATATCGTGTCTCTGTATGCTGAGGGAACTGTCAATGGATTTATCAGCACTTTAGGGTAAGTTGCCTCTCATTGCTCATTATATTAGTCTTAAACGTTAGTAAACATGGCATTTAGACATTTCGTTCAGATACACTGATGTTAATATGTTGCCCAAAATGCAGTGTTACATTATTAAACATGCAATACTATTTCATGTATATTTTGTCCTCCTCATGTCAGAAGAAGTTTGTTGTGTGGAAGTAGGAAGTGATTTGAGCTGCAGGCCAGAGGTGCTATGTGACAGCATTGCTTCAGAAGCATGCAAATCATTGAACAGGAATGCAAAGTTTTCTGTTAGTTTACACAGTAACGCTAATATAACCATGTAGGCTCAATTTAAAGGTGCATGTAGTAGTGTTTGCTAATTTAAAAGCTTTACACGTGAAAAAATTAACAGCACATTTGAGAGAAATATTATTGCAGTTATTTACATCACATGAAATAAAGACTCCAGATATATTAGTCTACTAAAAGAAAACAATCTGATTTAATCTACATGGAGTGGTTCACTGCCTCATGGATGGCACCATTTTTGATATCATGTGACCTGGTGTGACATGCAAATGGTTGATTTTCATCCATGGCTACTAATAATCACAGCAAGAATAATATGTTCACTTTATAGAGCTCTTTTATCCATTGGTCATTACAAAGTAGCCTATAGCACACAATACATTATAACAACAAACACATTATACATGCTGCAGGCATGGAGTCTTGTCAACACTTACCACCTTTCCACTGGGGCTGGAAAAAAAAGTCTTGGATCGCAGATCTTGGTTCTGAACCGGCCCCTAAATCTTGCTGGTCTCGAACAAGGGAAACTCTGACTGCAGTTTGAAAGTGGAAACATGAGCCGGTTCTGAACGAGTGCCATTCTTTGCTGAGCACCAGCTCCGGCACCAGCCCCAGTGGATAAGCGGTAACTATAGTATGGTTCAGGATGTCTGCAGGCCACCCATCGAAACAGAATGAGGATAAGTGGTACTTTTGGAATGAGTAAGATCCAGCTAAACTCAGATAAAGATTGACTGAGTGCACCTTTAATTATTAAAGGAATACCCAAAAATAAAAATAGTTGAAAATGTAGTCACCCTCAGGCCATTCAAGATGTAGATGAGTTCATTTCTTTATCGGAACAGATTTGGAGAAATTTAGCATTACATCACTTGCTCACCAATAGATCCTCTGCAGTGAATGGGTGCCGTCAGAATGAGAGTAAAAACATCATATTAATATATTTTTCAGCAAATTTTCATTTTTGGGTGAACTTAGTCAAATCTAATTTAATTTTACAGTTTCTGAGATTGCACTGTGTAACAGAAGCGGTTTTCATGTGATTTTTTTTATATGGTCATGTAGGAACACATCTGCTTGAGAGTCTTATGAAAGATTATGAATCTAACCACATGGAGGTGAAACGCCCAGCTCCATTTCAGGTCGCGTTGAATCACTTTTGCATTGTTGTGCAATGACTCATCAAGCAATTAAGGTGCAGAACAAATGAAGCTCCAGTGCACCGTGGCATTCTGTTCTGTGGCCTTCAGAATGCTGCGGTCACAATATATACAACATCTCTTTGCTTAAATCTCTTATCTTTAAAAGTTTTTTGTGGCATTGCATCAGAAGGATTGCAGCCGTGGTCATTTCTCTGTCACTTTTCACAATTCATGACACAGCTGTTTAGTTGTTTTGGAGTTTCAGCATTTGTAAAACTTAATGTGTGGTTTTTCGCTTTCTTACTATGATTCAAACGTAAGTGCTGAGGTTTTGTTTGGAGCATAATGCAGGCTAATTTACACATATTTGTAGTAATGTGCACTTGCATTGGAAATTGTGGTGTTCTGTTTGAGCAGACTTTGTGTCAAAGAGAGCTTATAGGATATTAACATACTACTCTTACTGTCATGCAGTCTATGTTTATACTGCACTCTCAGAAACAAAGGTACAGTACAAAAGCTATCATTTGGGCGGTACCCTTTCAAAAGGTACACATTTCCCTAAAGTGTGCATGTAAGTACCTTAAATGTACAAATTACTTCCTAAAGTGTACATATTAGTACCCTCTAGTATGGTACATAGCTGTACCTTTCAGAAAGGTACTAGCAGCTTTTATACCTTTGTTTGAGAGTGTGTGCACAGTAGGTTTTTATGCATAGACCAACTGCATCTGCTGAAATGTACAGTAAAGAACACTGCAATAGATTACAACATTCAGGTTCAGAAGTTAAAATTCCAATAATTTTCTCCATAGAAGAATGGATTTATAACTATAGGATATTTACTACTCTTACTGTCATGCAGTCTATGTTTATACTGCACTCTCAGAAACAAAGGTACAGTACAAAAGCTATCATTTGGGCGGTACCCTTTCAAAAGGTACACATGTAACATGTAAGTACCTTAAATGTACAAATTACTTCCTAAAGTGTACATATTAGTACCCTCTAGTATGGTACATAGCTGTACCTTTCAGAAAGGTACTAGCAGCTTTTATACCTTTGTTTGAGAGTGTGTGCACAGTAGGTTTTTATGCATAGACCAACTGCATCTGCTGAAATGTACAGTAAAGAACACTGCAATAGATTACAACATTCAGGTTCAGAAGTTAAAATTCCAATAATTTTCTCCATAGAAGAATGGATTTATAACTTATAAACCATTAGCAGCATAGTTAATGCAAAAATGAAAATTGTCATCATTTACTCACCCTCATGATGTTTCAAACATGTATGAGTTTTCTTCTGCTGAGCCCAAAAGAAGCTTCAAATCAAAGTTTGTAATGTTGCAATTCACCTCATAGCTCATCATTTTTAAACAAAGTCCTTTTTCTAAATCCCTATGAAAAATACCCTTCGGAACCAAGACCGTTGAAAAAGTGCCTATTTCTTAATATTTTGCAAACTTAGTAGGCAGGATGCAGTGTATACTGTGCAATATTTAGTAGTATGCTTGCACTCCATACCAAACATTGCCAGAGCTTTTCTTCTGATCCTAAACAAGGCGTTCTTGGATTATTTCCCAGAGGCTGTCATGGGTTTGTAGAGATATAATGGAAGTTGAATGGGGTTTTCTTTGTTTAGGTACCAAGGACTTGTTGTACTGCAGAACCCTAGTATCGGAAAAAGACTGATAAGAAGCTTGATTGGTTGAAATTCAACATAATAAACATTTATGGCCATAATTTGAGAGTAGATTGGTTAAAGGGGTCATATGATGCGATTTCAAGTTTTCCTTTCTCTTTGAAGTGTTACAAGCTCTTGTTTTGACACGTGACACTGCGCGCTGTACAGAGCGGGAAACTTCAAACTCAAAAGAAAATCCTGCCGCGGAACAGAGCGCCATTCA